TGGTTAAATCAACCTATGAAATTAAACATCATAAACATGAACAAGCTGTGGTGTGTTACTGGTAAATATGCCATCCATCAACACTTCATACTTCCACAACACACACCTTTTGATCTTACAGAATTCTAAGACTTTGAAATTATTCTAAGGCATTTTAAGTCAAAATTGTTTGTAAAATCAACCTCCCTGAAAGGAGGCTGTAAAACAAGATAATACTGAAAATATTGCAGTTTAACCTGGCCAATATATCAAAATAAAAAGTACAAATACAAGGAGAAAGCTGCTGGATCAAAATATTAATAGGGTTACTTTCAGCTATTATCTTGAAACAAGGAAATCAATCATGGTTTCTTTCAGATTACACAAGTTAGCCTTTCTTTCTCACCACATGGCTATTAAAAATAATATATTTTCTCACCAGTTTATCAAAGTGTGGAATGCTTATCAGCTGCTTGAAGAGTTCAATCAACCATTGCGCCTTCAGTACAACTGTGCTTCTGTGCTTGATTATCATCCCCAGGCCATTGTAAAAACTGATCATGGAGTCAAACTCATTTAAATCTTTTATGAAACACTCTTTCCTTGCATAGTGTTCAAGCTGTTGTAGATTTCTGTGATTAATCTGTTTGGCCACCAAAGCTTCAATCACCTTTTAAACAGGAACCACCTAAATAACAACAAACCAGTCAAGGTAAAATGTGGAATAATACACTACATGTTAGCTTGATTATTTCTCAGGACAACAGCTGTTTTGTTGTTAAAACATCGGCGCTAAATACATTGAATACATGCTGATTATGTCTTGAAAATCTGCAATACATGCAAACCAAGATGGTGGATTCAATTACATTTCACTTGCTTTGATGTCTAACCTTAATCAGTAGATATGACTTAGCTATATATACAAACCTATCTCTATAAAGTATGTAATATATAATTTTAGTGTTAAAAAGTTTGCATTGACTCAACACTTTTCTGTTTAAAAAAGAAATGACATCATATACTAATTCCCAGTTCCCAGAGGTGAGTTACATTGTACAAAAGTACGTCAAGTAACTTTGACCACAAATATGACGATCTTAATTATTATAACAAAAATGCATACTCATTGTGCTGATGAACCTAAACAGGGATGTGCGGTTAGTTTGAGCAAAATTTCCTTGCAACATTTATTTCAAAGGAAAAGGGCTACATTCAGACTACACCAAGGAGATAATTTGGATATATCAACAAAGTAGAAATGGTAAATTGGCCACTGTAATGATTACAAAAGCTGACGTTTCGAGCGTCGGAGCGATTAGAGGAATTGTTGGTTGTGTGGGCTTTTAAAGGCAGAAAATGGAGCTACGTTATTGGCGGGAACATGGCAACGAGAAAAACACGAATAAATTAGTGGAATGA